AACAGGCGTCGTCAAAATAGTCCAAGTGAAATCAAAACTTTGACATTTTGGTTTCTTCATATAACAGTGTGGTCTAAATTCATTGTTGCGTGACTACTGATTAACTGTATTGCTTTAGAAATTTAAGTCGTGTGAGTCTACAAGATCAACATGAGCCCAGCCAGTACACCAAGAAGAACATTGTGGAAGTTCACCATGACACCAACACAACCTGATGATTCCAAAGAAAATAAACAGAAATTTTGCAAAAAATATCTATAACGATTAATCGTTTTTCACAGGCTTAGTATTCGTGCCGAATAGTCCATAGCCAATTACCCTGTAGAAGTTCTGCCATGGAAGTGTCGTTGTATTTACTTCAATATGGGGAAGACAATAGATATAGACAGGAAAAATACGTAATGCGTGACTGTCATGAAAGCCAATGTTGACTCACCGCATGTTACATATCCCATACATGCTACTTGCATGATATGTGTCAGCTTGATGACCTACCTGCCCAGTTCTCAATAACATTTGTTTATCTTTGTTTCAGCTTGTGGAGGAGAGTTGACAGGGAATACTGGAACATTTTCAAGCCCTAATTACCCAACACATTACCCTAACAGAATAGTAAGTAGTTCACAGGAATAAATAGACGTTATATGGGTATCAGACTAGCCGTCTTATTTGTTTTTTCCTTTTTAGGTCTGTGACTGGGAGATCCAGGCAGAGCCAGACATCCAACAAATTCTCATAACATTCGAGGATTTTGCCATCGCTGACTCCCCTCTTACATGTTCCTATGACTATCTCTTAATCCTCGACTCTTAACACCGACAGCAAGTAGGAAAAGTACTGTGGCATGACTAAACCACTGCCCATAAAGATCGCAGGCAATGCATCCAATATTCGTTTCCAGGCTTCTCACTTAAGCTATGCGCGTGGTTTTAAGGCTCATTACACAAAACTGTAACTAGGCAAGAACTGTTTTGACCTGTAACTTTAATTGATCTGGATATGCTAAATAGAATAATGAATTATTCAATGTATGACAAAATAACGTCATTAGTTAATGATACCTCTAAATCAGTACTTCCGTGTTAAAATTCTAGCACTAAGAAAGTGAAAAGCTAAAGCCGGCAAAATAAGCCACCAAGACTGAATGACAAGGAAATGGGAATGAACAAAATCTTATAAGATAATTCAGAGTAGTAGTAATAACACCTGTCGAAAACTAGAATAGCTCTGTTAGAGGTTGGCATAGGTCCAACTATGCATATATAACCATAAAACATTTTGGACCATAGCGCGAACGTACCGCAGCATGAACCTGGGTACCGTAGCATGAACCATGGTACCGTAGCATAAACCTGGGAACTGTAGCATGAACCATGGTACCGTAGCATGAACCTGGGTACCTTATCATTAACCTGGGTACCGTAGCATGAACCTAGGTACCGTAGCAAGAACCTGGGTGCCGTAGCATGAACCTGGGTACCGAAGCATGAACCTAGGTACCGTAGCATAAACCTGGGTACCGTAGCATGAACCATGGTACCAAAGCATGAACCCACGGCTGTTTCAATTACGACATTAGGTTCCAGGCGCGCGCGCGGCCAAATCGCGTTGCTAAGCTGCTTCTCTTCCTTGATAACGAAAATGGCGGCAATTTTGAAACTTTGTTTTCCTCATTCAGCAAAATTAAAACCGGTTTAAAAAACCTTTTCTTTCAAGTTAAGATTCCAAACACGAAATACAGGTAAGTTAATCTAATCTTTTATCG